ACTTTCAACTGCCCTTGCTTGCCAAAACCTAAGAATAGAAGAAATGAGGTTTTAATTTTGGAGCAAAAGGAGCATTTTATCACAACTATGATTTAAATGAAATTTCCTGATCAGTTTCATTCCAATCCGAAGCTGGATTCAGACCCGTTGAACCCGTGGAAAATCACTGCCTGTACCGGGTACGAGGTTCACTATAAGCTTTGGCATTCTCCTGCACCCGCACTGTCATTGTAGCCAAGTGCAACAAAGCCAGATCTTTTCACAGCTTATGATTTTCAAGCATTTTCAACTGCTGTCAACTGTACGAAAACAAACCGACTTCCCAGTCAACTCAGAACAGCCTGTTACAGTGCGAAGTGAACCCACCTGAAGGAGGATTCGGCTGGTTCCTTCTTCATGACCTGAAGCAGTCTCGTCAACAAGCCTCTTTTCCCATCACAGACCAGACTCCTAGAGCGTGTGAAGAAATTGCAGCATGAGTGGAAGGGCTGGCAAGCACTGTACCGCGCAGGACACTGAATCCAGTCTCTTCTCCAGAGCTTTCAATGCATCAGATATACAGTACATACATACAACATTCAGAGCATCAAATATACAGTACAAATATTATTTAACTTTCATTGCTAGTTCTGCCAGTGGAAGAGTTCTCCTCACTGCCTTTGCAAACACCTGCAACGTGACTTCCAAATAAATCCTAAAGAAAAATTATTCATTTCCTCTCAATTTTAATGATTTCAAAAATACCAATTCAGAGCTTGTAGGAATTAAGAGATTAAAGAAAAACCCCACATATACCACATTTGAGCTTAGGCATGAAAGAAAAATACACCTTTTTTCCTCAACAACGGAAGCTCTAAGTTCCATTTAGGAGGCAGAGCAATATGGAAACCTAGATGCTACATGAGGGAGCTGCCTTCTGCATGGACTGGTAAAAGTATAGAGGCTGTAGAACTGCAATACTATTTGTATTAAATAGCAAATTCAGTGGAGCATCTACCTACAGTAAACTCGTGCAGAAGCAATGCCTTGATCTCCTCATGCATCAAGAAAAGCAACACGGAAACGAAATGCTAAGGGTGGAAAAGAAACCAATTTTAGGCCAGAAACTGAGCAATGCTGCCTGTCTGGCTCCACAGACCATCTAGGACAAGATGCTTCAAGTGGCACTCTTCTACTCAAAACACACCCCAGCAGGCACGTTCAGCAGATGCTCCCAGGTTAATAGCCACGTGCTGTATCAGCACCTTTGCTGGGCAGACAGTAGACGGTTGACAGAGCCCTTGTGGGAAGTGTTTTTCTTGCAGTGTGATAGTCTGTTCTACTAACCCTCGAGAGGGATGAGAAACTTTGCAGGTTGGAAAAAGCTGTGTACACCCTTGATCCACTTCCTTTCAGTGTGCTCCCAACAGGGGGAATTTTTTCCCCCTAAATACTTACACTTTTTTTGAACACAGCCAGAAAGGTACCTGTGCTTAGAAGGAAAAGATCCGAGTAACACAGACACCATTTCTGCCCAGTTAGGCACAGTATTATGATAACAACTATAATCTAGAAATCCTCTTAGAGAATTCCCTTTTGAAGTGAGGTAAACCTGCTCTGTGCAGACCAAGTCCCTGCTGGTGCTCTGGAAGCATCCTGAGAACTAAATTCTGCAAACAGTATTTCACCTTGTGAGGTTTGTACATCCACACCATGTATTAAAGAGCTTATTAAAATCAAAATAGTCAATCTAACAGATACTCAAATATAACACTAGAGATTCTCTAAGTGGTTTACCATGTTAATCTAATTTAGCTTATTCTAGTTATTAGCTGCTCTTAAAATAAAGACTCTGAGCAGACACACTTAGATCTGTTTATGCAGACTGCAAATGGACATTACGTGTGCACAGACGGCTCCTGAATCTCAAAACTAAAATCAGTAGCAGCAATTCATGCATTAGAGGGACCCCAGGTTACTTTCCAGGTCTGTCTGCAACGCCTGTGGTGAGAAAGGCCAGACAAACAGACCTAGCACATCATAACGAAGTCTAGGCCGTGAACACAAATCCCCTATTTTAGGTCACTTTTGTTTTTAGAGTGCCTTACTATGAGCAGAAGCACACTTTAGATTTGCTAATGACCACAAACATAGAATCATAGAATCACAGAATTGTCTAGGTTGGAAGAGACCCTTGGCATCATCGAGTCCAACCATCTACCCTACTCTACAAAGTTCTCCCCTACACCACATCCCCCAACACCACATCTAAACGTCTCTTGAACCCATCCAGGGATGGTGACTCAACCACCTCCCTGGGCAGCCTATCCCAGTGCCCGACCACTCTTTCTGTGAAAAATTCTTTCCTAATGTTCAGCCTAAATCTGCCCTGTTGGAGCTTGAAGCCATTCCCTCTCGTTCTGTCATTACTGCTGAAACACATCACTGACATTAAAGCAAATGAGGTGGACAGAAGGACCTCCAATGAAACAGGTGACAGCAAACCTCCAATATAAGTGCCTGCAAAACAGTAGAAGCTGCTGACCTAAACCCTCTATCCCTACTCACCTGTCTGTGTTGACAACTGCATCGACTTCAGGGATGTTGGCTTTGTGGGAGATTGCACTCAGCTCATTAAGTTCTTGGCTGTTTAAAAGGAGATACTTGTTCCTAAAGGAAGACAGTTGGGGAGTAGGGGAGAAAAACATGATTAATTCAAGAGGCAGGCAAACATGCAGTTTCCTGAAGAGTAAAGCCCCGTGCCTACAAGGGCTAGAGGACTCGGCAATCGGCTTTCACCTCTCTGGTTCTTTACAGCCGTTCACACTCCTCTCCACCGCAGCACGCTCCGAAGTTAGGCCAGCTAGCTGCTGTTTTATAAGCCTCCTCCAAAATTTGCCAAATGCACGTTTCAACATTGACCAGCTGCGAGATGCTGGTTCTTTGTTGACCTGTTCAGGATCTTATGGTTTATTTTGTGAATATTTCCTTCAGATGGCACTCGTTTTTGAAAATCTCAGCAACTTTTTGCTTTAAAGTCTGCTGAAATTCAGCAACCTTTTTCTTCCTACAGTCTTTCTTTGCCGTATAGTGACTATGCTCCTTATCAGTAATAAACCTCAATTAGAAAGCAGAAACTGCAAAAAGTACTCGATCATCCCAGTATTTTGTTACTCTGAGCAAATTGTTTAGTCGGGAAATATTTAAAAACTTCATGAAATGCAGAAAATAAAACAGGAATGGATATAAACCCACAAAATTTGCATTAAATGCTTTATTCAAATACTGAACTTTTCATAGTGAAACCCAATTTATCTGTAAATTACATTAAATGCAGAACAAGTCTGATAAAGTAGAAATGTAGTCCGGAGGCTCATTTTAACAGACTCCTTGCCCAGTGTCAGTGTGCTGCCTTAGAGCCCTCCTACTTCAAAGTGCTCAGAATCAGACAGCAAAGATTTATTTACAGGCAACCGAAGGGAGCATAGGATGCTGTGGTGAGGGTGTGCAAAGACTATTTATCAAAACATAGCAACTACACAGAGGGTAAATTATTAGACCAGAAAGGCGATGGGGATGCTGTCTTGCTTCAAACATTATCTTCCCAATTAGTGCCCACTGAGGCTGCCACTTGAAGTTTCTTTTGATCTGGATCAACAGGTTATACAGCCTCTCTCTCCATGCAATAAACAGTTCTGCAAGTTTGGTTTATACACGATTTTACTGAAGTTAATATTAGTATATAAGCACTTGCTCTCATCCTGTCCTCAGCTAACTCAGCTTATCTGTGATTTCATAGAAAGTTCACGTAACTATTTGTTTAAAAGCCCTAACCAGATTCCACACATTCCACTTGCTCAAATGCTACAGCTGAAAGCTGTTTTCCGTTTAAAGAAGCCCGAGATCTTTGCAGTAATGACTTAAGCAGGAATATCATCTAAAGAGATTGTATTGGAAAACCTGGAGTGATTCCTGAGCAAACAATGTCTTGCATGGAAGGTCAGCCTCTCCTTTATGTTTACAATACTTCCCAATCAAAAAGGCTGATATGTTCAATATGTATATCTAACAATAATAGATAAAACCTACACAAAAATATCACCCTGGCTGTACATAAGACCAGCGAGGCAAGAAGTGAAGGCATATACATATTTAGTATACTCCACCTCAAATACAGATGTTTGTAAAGAACAAGAAACCATCTTGCAGAACTGAATTAGAGCAACAAGACATTGATAGAATGCGAGATACGATTCTGCAAGTCAGAACAGAGCAACGAGTACCTCGGTACCAGCAGAGGAGGTGTGCTTCTTGAGTAAAAGCATTAAAAAAAATCAAAACAAGTGAAAAAAACTGCACCACCCCCCAACTACTCCAGCAGACTCAAGCTTCGTAAGTATGTCTTTTGAAAGCAAACAGAAGCCTTCTTCCTATTTCCAACCCAGGTTCCCAATGCCTAGCTGACAGATAATTGTTCCTCTAACATCTTCCCATCCAGTTTAATCAGGTCTTCTCCATTGCTGGCATTTAGACAGCAATCACACCTTCCCAGCCTTTTACAAAGGCAAAAGAGTATTGATTAATCTCTCTAGAGGTATGTTGTCATTCACCCTCATCTTCCAACAGCCTTTGTTTCATGCTTGTTCCACCCTGAATTAAATCTGAACGGGTCCCCACAGGGTTCATGTGCTCTTGTAAGCACACTGGCTCACTACCAACTCTCAGGGAGAAGACAGATAAACAGCGTCATGAAAGCTGCCTCCTTATTTCTTCAGCCAAAAAGTGTTGACTCATCCCATGAATGTTTCAGTCCGGTTCAACATGAAGCAAAACGGTCCATTTTTAATCATCACCAGACATACTAAGACATGCCCATTGGAGAGCATATCTGTAGCCTTTTCACACTGGGAGCTGAAAGGCACATCAACATCTGAATCGAGTTTAAGGACAGTACAATGTTCCATTCACACGGAGCCTGCACCGTGCCTAGGACACCCGCTGTAACTGCAACCAGGCAAACAATACTGCCGAGCCACAATCCACCACAGCCTTTCATACTCACTCATGGTGATCACTAAAGCTCTGAAGAAGCCTCAAGAACTGTATCTTTAAAGTGATGTCCTAAAAAGAAAGAAGAAAGGTCAAAAAATTTGCTTTAGTATTTTTGGGTATCATTAGTGACCAAGCTGACACGAAACAGCTAAACTGAAAACCTATCCAAATCAAACCCATTTGGACAGCAGAGCAAGTGACTTGCATAAATGGAGAAGGCTGCACTTTGCAGGCTTCCCAAAATAGAACAGACCTGGAGACTGCCTCCAATCTTATGCATGCAACGGTTAATATTTTCTTCTCAGTGCAAAGGCAAAAAAGCTCATCACTGTATTGACTGATTTAGAATATCTAGGTTTGGAAAACAAACAAAAAAACCCCAAGAAACACCCAAACCAACAAAAAACCCACACTCCCCAAACCTGACAGCAATCCATTTTTTGTTCTGTGCCTCTCCTTGCTAGACGCAGTAGCCATCATTTCCTTAAGTTTTGGTCAACTTCTACCTTTGGCCTCCAGGGACCACTGGACTTACTCCCTTCCCAGTTCCCAGAGAAGGAAGAGGCTAAATTGCCCACATGAGCAAAGACTTAAGTGAAAATAATAATTCACAAAACCCTGAATGCTACCATTCATTTATTCATTCAATATTCATATTCATTCAATTCATTTATTGTACAAGCACCCAGTTGCTCAATAAAACTCCTCAGAATTATATGATAAGATAAAAATCCAATCCAGAATTTAGAAAGTTACTCACTGGGCTACAATCACAATTTTGATTGTGTCCATGCAGAACAAGGACTGATGCCGAATGCTTTCTCCAGATCAGTTTGTCAAACAAGTTATTGAGGCCAGGAATCAGTTTGAACTCTGCTATCATTTTATGAACCTGGAAAACAAAGAGAAGTACATACTCATTTGCTGCAGCCTCAAATACGGCTATAACATAGTCTGGTAAACAGATGGGCACGATTACATCATTCTCTGACGACAGAAAGGGTGAATTCTTTTATCAAACAGCACGTGTTTGTGATAACAAGCACACTAACCATGGTGTATCATTAAAGTAGTTTCCATTTGGTGGACCTGGATAGAAAACAGACATTTTGGTTGAAAGCTGTGAGCCAGTGCTTCAACTAACCACTGTGCCTCTGGAAGCAGCTTTGGACATCTGGAGATCACTTACAGCACATTGAAAATACTTCTATACCCAACTTCTATGTATCACAAAACTAAGCTGCGAATATTCCGCTGCCAGCCATCCACTGAGCGTCCTTTGCCTTTCTAGTTCGCACAGCTGAAGCCGAGGTAGTCCTCTGAAGACAAACAAACGATCGATACCACTTTTGTTTAAGTGAAGGAGTTCTGAGCAAAGCAGAGTCCATCGGTAACAAAACCACACTGCAGTTCAAGCAATGTTCCTTCAGGTTAAGGGGAACTTGAGCTTCCTTAGAGAATGCTCAGATGAGAAGAAAATGCCAAATTACTCAGGTTTATGTATCAGTCTGCCTGCCAAGCTACGACGTGGTACATCATGACGTATTTGAGACCGTCTATAGAGTTACTCAGGTAAAAAAGCTAATCATTTTGGTGTGAACAGCTGATAATACCTTCAGTCCAAGTTTTGATAATTCTGATGTGAGCAATTTGGAAGACGAGGAATAGGAGAAGTACAAAGTGGGACGAACTCTCATCAGCTGTAGGCCTATGACAAGCAGCACGCCTTGAGATGTAGTGCAAATGAAAGCCACGCGTGATTGGGAAGCCCAACATGGTGTAAAAATTAAGTGCCCAAAGCAATAACGGACAAGTTCCTTAAAATCAAGTCACGTAAACAATAACCCAGGTCATCCCTGGGATGCAGAATTACAACTAGCGGTATTTCAAGCAGATCACTCCATTTTGTTGTATTTCCTCAAATACCTGAATTAATCAAAAATATCTGAAGCTGACACTATTTTACTGGTTTTCATTCTTACTGTCTGCAGCATAGCTGATGGCCTTTTGCATTCCTCTTGGCTACAACCAACTTTCCCGCCTATATGGAAATCACATTCTTGTTGCTGGGCCATCTCCCAGCATCACACCTGAGGAAGCACGAAGCTCCCACCTCACCCATACCGCGCTGACAGATGGCAGTCCTTCCGTGCTCCCCTACTTTACAACGCTCTTGGATGCTTTGATCTAGTCATAAGCCTCCAACAAAAACAGCTCTGAGGAATCTGTGTGAACAAAGCGCTCCCTGTAGTGCCCCCGTCCCTCGGTGGCCAGCACGGTGGCCAGCACGGCACGAGCACAACAGGATGAAACCAAGCGTGCGAGCTGCCTGCAAGAGCCTTGGCGCCTCACTAAATGAGGACCTCTCTATGCTCATCCTTTTAACCTGTAAATCTGCTCCTTTCCACACAGAGCATCATCTGCTGACTCCAAATGACTCATCCCTAATTTCAAACGTGTTTAGTTTGCTTAACTCTAAGGTCTCACCTGATGGAAAGCTGCATGACAAAGCTCCTGAGTCACAGTCATTGCCTTTGGATCATGCTCTCTCCCAGACCCCAAACTCATTACTACTACTCAGCCTGGGCCGCCAAGACAATCCCTGCTCTATATTCACCCTTCAAACGCCTTTGATTTTTTCCTGTCGCTGCCCAGCTTCACGTGAATTGGTCTATTGCTTTCTCACTACTAAAACTACTATAAGCTTTACTGCGTGTAGTTTGGTTCCCTATAGCAGAAGCGAGTAAATCAGCTGACTGCCTTTCACCACAACACAGACACGCGAGACAGCCTAGAAAAACACATGAGGAAAGTAGTTTAGGGTGTGACCATAACGAGAAGGAAGCAAAGGCACAAATCTGCAGTGAAACACCACTGATCCCCAAGGCTGCGATCATCCCCAATGCGGCGGCAGGTAGGAGCCGAGTCGCTGCTAGCACAGTTGTCAGTTTATGCAAGTTACCCAGCAGTCAAGTTTAAACTAAGGATTGAGAGTAAGCGTTCAGCAACAGGTTGAGTTTGTTAGGAAGCTGCATCATGCTTCAAGCAAACGCCAGACCATTATGCTGATTATCATAGTGGACTGAAGCAGGTTTGTGATGCCCTTTAGAAATTCTATGCGGAATTATTCCAATATAAAACCAGTAAGACTTTTGGCTGCTCAGACTGGAAGACAGGTATCACAGATCCTGTGCTTTTACTCCCTTGTAGAAAAAGAGATAACTATCATGCAGGTGAAATGCTTGTCAGCCAGAGTGCTACTGCAGACATTGCCATTCCCTGCTTATTGGGGCTTTCCACGTAGCACAGCCCAGCTCTAGTTCTTAATCTGACTACCTCTCAGGAAGGGGAATGGATTTGTGTCTGCCAGATGACTCCTTGAAAACTTTACACAGATTAAGGAATGGAGGATATATCACGTGCTTCAAAGGCAGTGGATTTCACAAAGTGAGCTGGCTTCGGACAAAAAAGCATTTGGGAATGAACTCCAATCTTTCAAGAATTCAATTCCAGTCCTGAACCAGCCCTGGAGAAGGGAACTGTGTGCCAGCTTTATCCTTAGACAGTTTCCCTGTTTGCATGGGGGCAGAAGTAGCAGAGGAAGAATAAAGACTTTTTTCCAGGAAATTTAAAAAAAAAAATAAAAAAGTCAGCTTCAAAGTCAGCCATTTCAGCAGAATACCTTCTACCTTGTCACATTTGACAGTAACACACTGGAGGTGACCCAGGGAGTTAAGGAAGTGAGCAGCTCCAGCTCCCTGAACAGACAGCAGCAGGATGAGCACAAGGCTCAAGCAGTTTCTGCAGTATCTATAAAACTGCATTCCTGTGGTGAATCAGGCAGGGATAAATTATCTGACTTGATACAATGGAAAAAAAATATTCCTCCTAACAGATCCATGTTCTGGTAGTTCCAGTTATGTCTTGGGCTTTTTTTTTTTTTTTTAAAACTTATTTTATGCCCAATCAAAATAGTACTTCTAAAAGGAATGACAACAGGATTATGAATTTCTTATGGTAGCGACTGTGGTTTCTGCAAGAATCACTAGTTTCCTCTGGTTACAACTGTACAGAATCTATTTATTTTTAATGCTGAGCATCCATTTGTAGGTTCAGAGTGAACAGGTTAGTTATGTTCAGGACTACGCTACAAATGTAACTCTATTTTAAATTCAGATTAAGAGATTTAAGAGACTGCCTGTGGCAAGTATTAGTGACTCCTATACAATGGGAGGTTACTAGCAAAGAACAAAATACTCAAGATAAATTTGCTCAAGCAACAGCCCCCTGAACACAGCTACTCTTGCCTAATACTACAGCCCTCCAACAACTCTGAACAATTTGATCCTCCCACTCTGGAGGGCACCCAAACGCCCCTGCTATTCCAAGCTGCTCTGCTGAGCTGAGCAGACTGCCAGCGTTGGAAACCTGTCAAAACTGCACCAACGGATTGCTTTTCTCTTCCCTTCACAATATGCTTTTTGACCCGTTTAAATCAAACTACAGCCCAGCTGCAGCGATTGGTTCTCCATAAGCCTATGTGAGGCCGGGAACAAATTATTTTTCATTTTCAAAGCAAGAAACGCAAAAGGAACAGGTGAGTGGGATTTCTAGGCAGTGCCCAACGCAGACAGCACTGAAGTGTATCCTCCCAGCCGAGAGTTTAACACCACACTCACTCAGCCAAGACGTGGGAACCTACTGCAAAAATCCCCCATTCACAAATCGCCCCAGAGGATTTCCAAAAGTGAAAGCAGCCAAAGAGGGGGAAGGCTTGAAGGGGTTCGGTCCAAGCGGGTCACCCGTGCACCAGGGTGGGGAAGAAAGCCTGGCTGCAGCATCTAGGTGCATCCAAACGCTTCCTCGCACACAGAGCCAGGCTGCCTCTCCCAGGAGTCACGCTCCTGCGTCCGTCCTGCACTGAAGCAGCAGCTCTGCAGAGACTGACCACCACCACCCGCCCACAGGTCCACGCTTGTGACAAGCCCTGCCCAATGGCGCATGGTGCGCAGCAGCCAAACACTGCCTGTTTGTTTGTGCATCGCCGCAATGATGGGATTTGCCCAGCTTTATGCCTTGAGCTTTGCCCTTCACATTTCTGTGTCCGTGACCTAATTAATGAGCACTTAGGTTTAAAGAGACACCAACTTTTGCATGCGTGACCGTTTACAAGTGCTCACCTGATTCCTTTGTCTCCCCATGAGCAGCACACAGAGAACATACAACACCTCCAGCTTGTACATAATCTCGTGCATTATCTTCATGGACTGTGGAAGCTGTGTTCGTGTCGAGGAGTTGGCCAATCCACTTTCATCCGAAGACTCTGAACAAGATGGCAAAGATGTGAGCCCAAGGCAGCTTCAACAGGAAAGGATTGCTACAGTTATTACTTTTACACCAAACCACTGCAGATATAAGACCGCCACGTCTGCTTGAATCTTCTTTTCAACTAAAAATAGCGACATACAACAATAACCAATTTGAATGAAATGCTACAGAAGAGAAAAAAATACAGCTGGAGTTTTTGAGGAGACAAAATTAGATTTTTTTTTTTTAAATGATATAATTTTTCCATAATAAGCTAAATGGCATCATCTACCTAAAGTAAGTAGGATCACCTATATGAATTAATAGACTGCTGCACCAGAAAGCACAAGGCAGAAAAGGTAATAAAAGTAGGGGTGAGATTATCAGAAGCATTTACTATTAGTCTATTTTCATTTCATACCTCAGTACCACTACACTCAGGCCACAGTTAAATAACTTTCATAGCCCTATCTAGAATTATACTGCTAAGGGCAGAAATGGGATATAACACACCACGATTGCAAGTGGAAAACATGACAGAAATCATGAGTGACACAGAGAAAGTAAATAAGGACACAGTGAAACTTGTAGGTTGCAGTTCAAAAAGGAGTTAGTTATGTATTGCATAAAGAGCTAAGTGATGAACTGCCCTGCCACAGGATAGCGTGAATGCTTTTTGAACGCATGTGAAGAAACAGTAACGAGGCAAACATGCAAAGAAAGGAAACTATCAAAGGCTAAAACGCATAGACACCACCTCTGACTCACAAGTCCCTAAGCCACAAGCCACTGGAGACTCAGGCAGTATTCTGGGAAAGGACATCTAGGTTTAGCTCTTGGCCCACAACATCGGTTGCCGAGCAGTCTCCACCAACTTGGTGTGTATAAATGTCAGATGCTGTTGGAGCACTCACATACCTCATTTTTTGTGTATTTTCAGAAGTCTTAATAATTAATTGCTACAAAACTAATGAAGCTGGATAAGGAAGAAAGTTTTCCCAGGAAGCACAGAAGCAAAGATTTAGATATCAATATTTTGGGATAATACTCATTCCATTACTGAATGTTTTGAGTTAGAAGACATACACTGCCTTCTTGTAATATTGAAGGGTGAAGAAACAAACCAGGTGTTTGCTTCAAGGTGCTTTCCTAAGGTTTTATTAACACTTCCACGCGATGACCTGGAACAATTATTTTTTTCCAATTAACTTATTTAGTTTTGCTGGAACTACCTTTCCTTTTTAAAGACGGGACTGCTTGCTTGGCACAGCAACTCAAGCCACCAGCCTAATTTTAAAGCAAAATGCTGGTAAAGTCACTTACCTCAGATGCGTGTATTTATGTCACTCCAGGGGAAATTAGTTGTGAGGATGTACAGCATTACAGTGTTATCTAGGTGTGCAAAGGGCACAGTTTGCCTTAGGACATTTCCTTTTGCTTACTTTAGTTCACAAAAAAAAAAAACAGCGCTACATGAGAACAAAACTGGAGTCAGACCTAAATGCTGACATATCCATCTTTCATGCAAGAAAAGGGGAATCAATACTGATTGAAAGGAAAAGCAAAACATGGCAAACATGGCAAAGGGTTAAGATATGCATCAGCTAATGATGGCTAGAGGAACACAAGCCAGATACCTGTACTGCTCTGCTCTGCCTCTTCATTTGCCACTCGCATCAGTGCGTCGAGTACTAGTGCGTTGTCTAGCCAGGTGTACCATTCTTCCAACTCCTGGAGGAAGCTGGAAGTACCTGTTGTTTCAGACACCTTCCGTGTTGCCAGTTTGCACAATCGCTCAATGAAGCCTGGAATATTCAAAAGCGTAGCTGAAAAAGAAAAAATAATTTTATTATGATTTAAGGTCACCAACACAACAATCATGAAATCCTCTATACCACAAGGTAATAAAACATCTACATTAGTAATACAGAAGAGTACACAGAAACAAATTCCATCCTGTTAAAAAGATCCAGAGATGGAAGAAGTCGGTGCCCTCTCCTATTAAGGACTGGAAGAGCGTACATACCCTAAGCGTAATTCAATTGGCGTTAAACCGGTTTGTGTTGGACTTACACTGGAAAAAAGTTAGTTCTACCCTACTCTAACTGCTTGTTTCCAGCCAATTCCCTTTTGCTGGTACTGCTGTTTTCCAATCCACAGCAAGTCAATATCAAGGAACCGATCTGGCTGAAAATTAAGCTGGCAGAAATAAAGCAGCAGCCCTTGGAAGGGGCAGCTCCACCTCCCTCTTCCTCTCTGCGATGCCACCTCCTTAATTTTACCTCCTGTGGTGTTTGTCTCATAGCAAATTGAACTAGCTCACTTCAGTAGCTGGGCGGAAAGCTGTTAGCTTTTTAAGTACTAGTTTCCTGAATTAGTTCATCATGGAGCAAAACAGATGGGGAACACATGACAGCAGCCTTAAGTTAAAAGGTTTTAATTGTTGTGGAACTGCATCCCTTTGAAACAGCAGTTCAAGGCAGAAGTCACTGGTTTGCAAAATGCTTGAGGGGCTTGGGGAGGTGCTGGGAGTGGCATTTTGTCCTAAAGTTTTCACAGAATAACTTCATTATAAGACCTGTTTATTACAGATACATGGCTAAGTCTTCAATTCACCACAATGCAAGTAGAAAAGGAGAAAGAATTTGGCCATGAACACTATAGGAAAGAGTTGTGAGATTCTGCCCTCTGGTATCATCTCTGAAAGAATAAGCTCCCTGATAAAATTTTTAAAATGGAATACATTTTACAGCCTTACATACAGTCTTTAATTGTGCAAACAAAAAATGATTAGTTAAACATTTGCTTGGCTAAGTTCAGCTCTGCGGGATCCAAGCTTATTCAGTTCAACTAAATTAAATTAAACTTTGCACCCACACCTACGCGTACTTGTCCATTGCTCTTTACAAGCAAGCTCGTGCGATCACAGGGCAGAAGACAATACACCCCCTTTAAAGTTTTCTCAGCTTCTGCCTGCTGTATGATGCCATCCATCTCTCCCTGGATACTGTAGAGGTGGCAGCGGTTACAAATGAAGCTTTGTTGTTCATGGCTAACATAAAATGTTATAAGATGGGAGAACCAGCTCCAAAACTCCTTTTTGCACTTCCCAAAATTGTTTGGCACGGGCCTATGCAAACATTTGCTTCAAAAGCCCAAAAGCTTCTCAGCATAGTAAGAGCTGAAACAGCAGATCCTACGTTTAAGAGTACTTAAATCTCTTAAATTCATACTCATCCTTCTAGACAAGACTTCTGCATCTGTGAAGTACTCGGGAAAACAAGGAAACCTGTACTGTTCCCAAAGTTAAAGTTGAGATCAGACCCACAGATTTCCAAGGCTGGTGTGGTCAACATGATTAATATTAAACACACTTTCCTTGTTGATAAAGAAAGACATCCTGCTCAGGACAATGTCAGATAAAATCAGAGAAGGAACAGCTCCAACAGCAACCACACTGCGTGCAGTTTTAGTCCAGGAATTCATATTTTTAATGAGGACACAGAATTACTGAGAGTTGCTAAATGGAAGGCTGTGGAAGTGACAGAGGGATAGAAAAGAAACCAAATTATTTTACGCAAGTCATTTCAGAGAGGGCTGAAATGACAGAAATTAACTCACCTAATTACCAACACCATATGAAATTGAAAGCTACCAGGTAAGTTTCATTAATAGGAAAGATTGTTTCCAGGAAACTGCTTGAGGAAAGTGAATGAAGAAAAATGCTTTATAAAAGACAATGCTTACAGTATCCTCTAGAAACATACGCTACAGATGTGACACTGCGAAGAGGGAAACTTTAGACTGCTGAGATTCCTCTGCATTTGTTCACATCATAACAATTACCTTGATTAATTTCCGCTCGTGAAGGACCCAAGTTTTTTTTCTGCTGGGCATTTTTGGCAAGAAGTGTGTGCTTGTCATCGCTTCCTGTGTCAAGTTCAGAAATGGTGACAGCAAGGATCCTGCAGAAGTTCGCAAGCTGCTGCTGATCAAAACTCGACACAAGGCTTGCAAGATTGGGAATATCATCCAGTTGTATCATTTCCTGGAGGAGGCAACATCAACTGAGTAAACTGCACGTGATATTCAATAAGGGAACATAAACATAGCCAGAAGACTTCAGCTACAGCTCTTCCCTGGTGAGATCTGTATGTTATTTCAATGTTAGTAAAACAGAAGCAAACAGGCAGTGAAATGTGAAGAGCCTGAGAAAAACTGTGACTTACAACTGGTGTCACTTATATTTATCAACTCCAGAAGCAGACAGCCATCTTTTAATGACTAAGTATTTAAGTCAAATTTGGGGGGCTCTTTTTTTTTTTTTTAAATGAATTTAACAGACAAATTGCATGTAAGTATTATAAAGCTTCAGTTCAGTTTTCCACTTCTGTGTTCTCTTTCAAGCTCACAGATAAGAACTGAGGAAAAAAATCTAGGGGTCAGTCTTTTTCATCAAATGATATTAAAACTATGTTGCAAACAGCTTTCAGAAAAAAAAAAAAAGGCAAATATTTATGTTCAGATAAACTAAGCTTGCTTCCTATCTCAGGAAGTATATCATCCTCAACTTTTAAAATAAAATAAAAAAAACAACAGTAAGAAGTTACAGAATCCTGACCCTCTCCACAAAATGTACATAGACACATTTCATTCAAAGTTTTCCCAGGGTTACACCTGCAATATTTTATTTGCATCACATCAGGGCACTAAACTGTAACGATACAAGTTCAAAAAACTATTTTGTACAGAAGACCTAAGCGCACTGTTCCCCCAGCCTACAACTGCTCAGAGAGGTGACAAACCCCAAGGTAAGAGAGGCACGGGAAGCCTTCCAGCTGTCAGGAAGACTACTGAAATATCTGAAGTGTAATGAGAAGGCAAGGATGAAAAATGAATTTATATAAGGTTCATTATCTTTATTTGAAATACTGGTTGTACTTTAACAACAGCTAGGCGCTCACCCCCCATCATCCTCTGCAAGCTATGCAAAAGCATTATAAGTACGATACCACATGTGTAATTTGGCTTCTGTATGAATTGTGATTGAAGTTAATGATCACTGTAAACAGTCAGGTTTCAAACAAGCTACAAGAAGTGAGAAAGCTAGCTTAGAGGATTATCTTCAGCAACTCTTCAAAGAAAGAGCTGTCTTTCCGCTACTGGCCTGAAAAACCATACAAATAAAATTAAGAAACCAGTAACTAACCTTTTTAACTCCCAGAATATCTTCAATGAGCGTTGCAGTTTGTAGGAATGTCTTTTTGTTTGTCATCAGTGTAAACAGGAACAACACAAAGTCATTTCTTTCTGCCAATCGCCTCGTGACTCCTTCCGTCTAGAAAGCAGCAAGAAGCACACACAGACCCAGAGTCAGACCGCACCGTGAGAAGTCGTATGCTACAGGCACATGCAGGACAGTTTCACAGACGATGTGTTACTGAATCAGCTATTTCTGAAACCAGGAAACGTTGTGTTTACGGTGACCAAAACTAACTCCAGTCCCTGTTTGAAGTTAACATGACGCTTGCAAGAACTACAGGCTCCAGGATGAGAGGCTTCATCTCAAGGCAGTTGTTTACTTGCCTGAATTCAAAGTAAACACCGCATGCCTGGAAATACGTCAGAGAGGCTTGTCTCGGCTTTCCCATGCAAACCGTAACCAGCTCCATTTCACGGTATGTAAATGTAGTCCCCACATTCCTCCTAAACTGTCAGCATTGCTCTCAGCTAGGCAGGGTCTGAGGAACCAGAATCAAGCATTTGCCTTAATAAACTCGGTGATGAACCCAAAAGTCATGCTGAAGCATGAACTCGGCTTCATCACCGAGTTCATTATGGCCAGCTCTCACGCTCTGATCGCTGCTGAGACCGCGGCCAGTCCTTTCTGGAATTAAACACAAACTTAAAACTACATCCTTACCGCTTGCAAAGCTGTCTCTGGTATGTGACTGACATGCTAACAGTGCTCACAGAGCTAGTGTAGCTCAGATACTTCCTGAATATTTACATATAAGAGCAGTTAATGTTGCACACACATTTCTGTGATCCTGAACACTTATCATTCAAGATAGAGCAATAATACTGAAGCAAATTAAAACAGCAGCTAGTCTATAAATTGCAAACTTGTTTCTTAGCATATTACACTATTCACAGTTTGCAGAAGTTGCATTACCTATAGTTAAAACAAAAATATCATGTGTGTCAAGAGAAAAAGTGTTCCTTCTCTTCCCCCTCCCATGTGTACACAGATACTTAGTGATGAGAACATGATCTATTAAGACTCAAACTCTCAAGATTAGGCTGACGTCTTTGGAAAAGCTCCAAGCCAGTAACTGCCTTTTTAAAAATTTTTGTTAAGCAACGCTCCCTAGGTTATGACATAATAAAATGTGTGACTAAGTAAACAATCCTGAGGATGTTTCCTGCATGCATAATCTGAGGAATGTGCTTTTAGCTTCAGAATTTTAATGGCAAGGTATTTCAATAGGCCTTTAACCCAGCATCTTCCTTAGCACTGATCTGCCATCAGCTAAACTGAATTAATATTCAGCACATAAACTAGTTGGAGGATCAACTTAAAATACTTTGCCAGCACCATTACTGAACAAGACCGGCTGTATCTCGGGTTAGTAAGCATCCACTTTCAGTTTCAAATTTTAAGTTTGACAACAACAAAGGCTGACACAGCTTTCCTGTGGAAACACAGATACAGAAAGATCCCAACAAGAGTATTTAAACTTGACAATGTGGCTAAGAAAACAGAAATTATTTGAGTAACACAAAAAAAAATTATAGGGTGGTCCAGTATTTAACTGAAGGAACGCTAATGAAAAGTTACAGAGCAAGTTTAAAATATGCTTAGAAGAGTCTGTATGTTGTTTTATCAAGTGGCACGTGTAAAACATGACCTACAGACCACCCTTCCACAGCAGATGTACTTACACATATACACGTGTTGTACAGTATGCTTAAACAGTCCTTGATGAGGTCATCGCTTACTGCAAAGGAGAAAACAGACATTCACTAGCTATACATTGCCAAGAAACACTAACTTCCACAGTAGTGACGTGAACAGCTATAAAATGGGAGAGAATTTCAGGCGAACTGCTACCTCAGATCATATATGGAACTGCCTTGGAGGACAGAAGCCAGAGGAAGAAACACTGTACCCGACCTGTTCACGTGATTTCTTCCAAAACTACTATCAGCACTGCCTAGGAGCACAGACAGAGATGTACTTGTGGTCTAGTGCACTTCTTAGTCACACACAAAAGGAAACAACAGGGGTGTAAAGAGTATTTTAGGAAAAATATCACAGATCAGCCCAAAAATTGTCCACATGAGAAACTGCTGAGACACATATTAGTTCCAATTATTAAGCATGGGGTGGAAAAAAAGGATAGTTCATGCAGTTTTCTCCAGGCAGTATCAGGAATTCACAGCAAAGCCTTCTATCTGATTTACTCCAGCATTTCAATATTTAAAATGTTTTCAGTACAGACATACAACAGCTGCCTCTAGCTCAAGTTCAAGTTATTCACCTTTGAAGTTCCCTGGCTGGCGGGCATGGAGTGTACCATGACATTTCCGTTCCTCAGAAGGGTTTAGGGAACCAGCAGAATCACAGGCGGAAGAAATGAAAACACTAAACTAAAGCTGCTCCAGCAGGAAAGTTGCGCTGAAGCTACCGTGCCCCACTGGCAAATTCTCCTTATAGCCACTTGGAAATTAGTAGTCACTGTGACTAGGGCAGGAAAAGAACATACTTCTCATTATCTCACAATCTCTATAACTCCTATTACATAAACAATGTTTTGTGGCTCATTATTAATAATTGTGAACCATAACTATAGCCACGGTAACAATAAAAGTTTCCAGGGACTGCAGATTTACTGCACTGAGAGAAGTATGTTACGCTGAGTGCATGAATACTCCTGAGCTGTGCTTTGCACCAGGTGACTATCCTAAATCCCATCCTGAATCAGTACAACAGAGAACAAAGAAACCAATGATTCATTTAGGAACAGGAAATTGCTGGTATGGATATACAGTAACAGAAAAATAGAATAATTTCTGTCTGAATAAGGACACAAGGCAAGAATAAAAAAAAAAAAAACAAAAACATTAAGCACCTCTTTACTTACTTTTCTGTTTCTTTTTCTGTGTAATAAGAGTTGGTCTCATGAGAATTTCTACTAAAAGCTGTAACAACAAGATAGAGAATTAAGGAAATAATCATTGGGATGCAAATAACCAATTAATTTGTCAGTGACAAATCCAAACTTAGTCCTGTCTCTGCTGAAGTCACAGAGGTGAATAATGGAAGCTCTACAATCACTGGTATCAAAATCACACTGACAAAAAATAGTTGTATTTACCCTAAAGAAATAGTAACAGTTGAATAAAACAATCTCTCACTGGCAAGTTTTAAAGAATTTGAGTCTGCAAAGAATATAATTTCATATGCATCCAGATAACATCAAGGATGGCTATCACACATCTCCCAAAATAGTGAATCTTTAGCAATAATCTGCAGAGCTGCATATTCTACAAAGGCTCTCCCTAAATCTTGCTGGGCTTCAAAATACATTTCAGATCCAGACATAACAGAACTTAGTTGCTCCAGACTTTAATCTCACCAATAAAGAGCAAGCCACTGCTTGTGTACCTGTACCTTGTATGTATACTTACATATATATTTATGCATATGCGAAGTGTTGTCTCATTTCTATTTAAGGAATGTAACAGTCAGCTTTTCAAGTCTAGGACTACGGTTCTGATACATGTAGAACTGAATTTTTTAGTTGTTCTAGCCTATACCACTGGTTTATTTTGAAATGTTAAAAAAAATAGCAGCTTATTTAAAAAGTAGAGTTATCCACTAGAAGGAAGTGATGACTTCTGCAAGAAATATTGCAAAAAGCCCCTAGAGTTTTAAAATTCAGCTTAAAATTGTTAAGAGCAATGTAGGCATCACCCAGTCAAATCATGTCAACTGACAACATACTTAGTTTTACAACTTGCTCTGTCTATTTGTCCCAACTTAACTTTACCCTTCTTTTAATGAACTACCTACCCAGACACAGAGGAAAACATCTGATAGCACCGGAGGCGCTGCCCACATTTTAAGGGCTGACAAATAAAAAAATGGGCAACTTTAAAGAGGAATATCCATTTTCCAGTAATACTTGTAATAGTAGCTGTAGCATCAGTAGGGTAGAGAAAAATGACTGCAGCAGTAATGTAGTGCTCATATTAATGGCTCGCGTTTTAGGAGAAGAATGCACACCTCAAGGCTCAGTACCCGAGATAAGCATCCAAAGATATCCCTATGAACTTGGGATGCAGGCCACCTTTCTTCTCCTGGGAAAGAACAGCTACTGCAAAAGACTGTCTTTTAAGAGTGGCCACACTCATGATCACTCCTGCCTTGCCACAGAGTGGACCTTTTCAGCTAGTATTTTTTTTTTTCCTGGTCAATACTATAACCCACCACGTATTTATCACCTTATTCTTGCAGAACTGGTATGCTCCTCACATACCCTCCAGGGACTGGACTGCAGTGGTGTGAGACACTCCTTGGAGAGGGCTTTCTTCAGCCATCCTACTGAAACTGCAACAGTATGCAGCAAGAAGCGCAAGAGTCCAATTGCAGAAAGAGAACAGGTAAGAGGATGCCTCACCAGAGGCAGAAGGAGCAGAAAGGGAGTTATAAGAGCTCATTTCTTAGAATGGGGTTGCATTCAGGTCCAAAGTCCACATGGCACGTGTATCATTTCATGTGTTTGTACTCTCAGGTAATATTTTACATGTATTCATATAAAGGGAGGAGACACAAACGTACTTTTGCTCTTCCTTGACGCAAAGGCTGTCAGAATCCAAAAATATTTTAAAGAATCACACATTATAGCACCCAGAGTACACTGCAAATTTAGCATCCTTCAAAGTTGCTTATGCTTCACAGATTGAAATACTGCAATACAGAATAAGCATGTGGCACACACAGAACCAGGAGATTAGACTACTTCCCTTTCAAGTCCTAGAGTAGGACTTTCAAAAACCCATCGCACCGGCTTCTACTACTGCCTTTAACCAGATTAAACCCACGTGTATCAGCCAAATCTCTGGCCATAGTACCAGGTAATTACAGTGCATCTCAAATGTACCATCTCCAGCCCAAGGAAAAAAAATAAACAAAACCAACCAACAAACCCCAACCAAACAAACCAAAAACCCCACGCCAACACACACTTATTTAAATATGACACATAAAGCCATTTTCTGTGCATCCTTACGTTAAAAGCACTTCTACAGGAAGTATCACTATTTCCCTTTAAAACCAGGGGAAATTTAGAATGTTTTCATACAATGTTCTAAATTTGCTTTGGTAACTGAAGACTTTTGTCCTCAGCTGATAGAATACCAGCAATTAAACCAGTGCTAATTTCAAAACAACATAACTCAAATACAAGTTTTACTTAAGTAAAGGCAGTATGCTTAGTGTAACAAGAGAGAAGTAGCAAAGACACTGTTTAGTTAGACCAAATTATAAAAAAAAAAAAGGGAAGAAAATGCCCATTAGTTTATCGGAAAATACAAATCATACATTTCTAATGCAAGCTAAGATCCCAGAGTCTGTCAGCATAAAACTGAGCAAACTTGGGTATTTGTGTAACGTAGAATTAAAACAAATAAACAAAAAGATAAATTGCCAGAATGTCTACAGAAACCTTGCAGTTCTGTTTAAAAACTTTTCCATAGATGAAGTACTCCGCACTGGATGCCAACAATAAACATAGACAACCTGGCTAAGAGAGTGCCTGAGGGTGCTTAAAAAACTACCACATATCCTTCAGTAGTACGCGAAATTCTCAGTGCTCTGGTACCAACTGTAGTATTTAATCTCACCAACTAGAAATCATTTGAAACTGTTTTCCTTGGGAACCTAGAGGTCTCAACTTTTTTAAGTTAAGAACAGACCACCTGAAGAAACAGCCAGATCTTCTGTATCAAAAGCATCTCACTTTTGATGATGCGATACCTTGGAAAATACACCCTTTTCCCATTTTGGTTAACGGAAACAGGCACAATACTAACGCTTAACATCAAATTGGTAAAGTCAATCTGTAGCTTGCATTTAGAAGCTTCCAAGGTCTCAAGACCTCACTTACAGATTTCTCAGTGGTATGACTATCATGCAGAAATCTTTTGACATCGTTGAAAAAACACACTTACATCGACTCCTCCAAATAAGTCAAATGTGTATGTATTTGGAAAAGTGGACTCTTGAGCAGCTTTTCTATCTTCTGTAACAAATGCCATGGCTTCCATTGAAAGAAGTGGAGAAATTTCCTGCATACAATAAAAAAAAAAGGTGGTTCAAAAAGGAAACTGTTCATCAGTGTAAACACAATCGTCTCTGACTATCGGTGTGATCTACTGACTAATCAATTACATGAATTCCCAGCTCTTATCTACCAGCTAATTCACAGATACTATCATGCAAACAGTTTCAAAAATTAGTTAGAGTATGATCACAGCAGAGTTTAAAGAAAGGCACAACAAAATAACCCCTAGCTTTCAGAAGAACAGTGTAGATAGTACCTTTAAGATGCTTTGGCACTGGGAGAAATCGCTGTTTGGGTGGCTATGTTCATACAGCTTTTGCAACAGTAAGGGAATCCCATTCCATTTTGCTTGTTTATCTCTCTCCTTTAACAAGGCCTCTGTGATCTGCAACAAAGGAAGAATATAATTCCCATGTGTCTGATGCTTTACAACTCGGAAAACATCCTTATCACCGCCCCAAAATATCAACATCAGAATATCACAGAAAAATAGTTTATTGTAGAGACTACCATTACAGAATCCAGTACCTCTTTCCATGCAGCCACTTATCCAGGACTGGTAGCTGCAGAATTTTAGAGATGGTCAAAGTATCTTAAGCAGGACAAGGCTTAAAGCAGATGTTATCATTTCCAGTACTTAATCTCATTCCGTATTTTTATATTGATCATGTATTTTTAAATAGGAACACATTAGTCTCTAAATAATTCCACTAGTAGAACTCCAATTGGCAAGTCAATGAAGGAGGAAATGGGTGCCCTTGACACTATCAAAAATTACACTGGTCTAAGGTAGACAGAACACTGAAGACGGAAAGGCTTCCTTACTCGTTACATTCAGCTAGCAATGAGTATCTCCTCAGCCAAGTCCCTGAAGCCATTATTGGTCACGGCAATGACCCAAACCACTAAGATTTACAAGCAGATTCCAGGAGAACGTATCAAAGATACAGTGAAAATTTCCTCTGTAGTCTTGGGTTGGTTATAAATGGAAACCAACAACTAAATCAGTAGAACAACACTGGCACTACCCTCTGAGAAGCAAGCTGCAAGCACAAAAAAGAACACCTTAGCATTTACTACTACATTTGTGCAAACTTTCTCCAATTTTCCTCTTCCACCCAAAATATATATATAAAAACCCCCTCAATATTCACTACTACATTTTACACCTGAAAAGAAATGAAGTAACAGCACAAGACAGGATTCCACTTAGAGCCCACAAAAGATGTTTTGAAGCCTGAACGCTTCCAGGTTACTGCCAGCAGATGCTGTAAAGGAGCAGCTCTTCATTACAGTTCACCATCCAGTTAATGCAGACCAAAATTTAACCCCCTTCCTTAACAATGCTTCAGAGGTACCTAGACCAACCCCAAAATAGGGGCTTATCCTTGTACAGAAAGGTAAGGCAGACAACAGTAATTATAGCCAGCAGGATTTCTGGCTGGCTTTACAATATTTGTATGTGCCCTCCAAATAAAACCAAATAAAAGAAACCCCAATCCTCTGGCCAGTGAGACTGCATCTCATTGCAACACTTGTGGATTTTCTCTTACTCCTACGTCTAAACCTCCAAGCTGCTCTCATTCTGCGCAAGTCGCTCCTCCAACCTTTCTGTAGTTAACTTGCATTGTTTCCCTCCAGCGTGCTTAAATGTTCAATGTTAATAGTTAACAGCCAGGAAATCTTGCCTCTTATTGTTTCAGCCAAGACATCCTTCTCAGATACACCTCAGTGTACGATTCCAAAGGGCCATTCAATTCCCGATTAGACAATTATATGCAAACGTACTCCAATTTTTGACCGAGAATTTAACCCTTTTCTCCACTTGTTAGACAGCACACAGAAGACCAGAAAAGGGATGCAAGCACATAAAAACTCAGACCGGCAAAGTTAGCTGCTATGGATCCTCAGCCTTCTCCTAAGCTTCCCAGATACTTAGGGTTCTTTTCCTGATGAAATATCCAAATTTGTACATAACTAAGAATTTCAAAGCTCCTGAAGTATCAGGTTTTCTCGCTACAAGGGGTGACAGAAGAGGCATGAACAAACCCGTGACATGAAACTCTCTCCAGTTTTTAACTTTTCTCTGCTTTCTGACTCATGAATAAGACTAATCAACCAGCACTGCTGGAGAATGACACAGAGTTCCTTCTGAGGAGGCCATTCACCCAAGAAATGGCAGGATGAAACCATAAAGGCAAAACGGTTTCTCATCGTTTGGACTGCGAGTAATGGGTCAGCTCCTTGAAAGTCACAAATTTCCATTTCTCCCTGTAATACCCAGCCCAGAGAGAGGGAGAGGAGCTCTACCACTAGCCCATCGCAGTGTGGGAGGAGTACACAACCCCACAACTGGCAGGAGGAACCGATTAATTGCTGGGTAAAGTACAAAGAACGTGCCACAAAATGTCAGGGAAAGAATCCAACTCTCCACCTCCAGGTGATGCGGAAGATACCACGGGCATTGACGATGTGCACGGCCGCAATCTGGGGTTTCAGCAGCACAGCGCAGAATTCAGCATCCAAGCGCTCTCAGAAAAGGCCTTAATCGATGTTAAAACCTTCTCCCTAATAGCACATTTGTTGTTCGCACGTATGCTTCTTGGTTTGGGGCAGGATCCATCTCCATTCTCATTTCTGTAGTAGTAGGTCTTCCTCTCCCTGCCCCAGCCTGTGAGAGGCAGCCACTTATGCTGATCTGCAGAAAACTTCGAGAACTGAAATTCTGAAAGAATGAAGCAAATGTTTCCTCACTCTCATCTTCTTTTAACTGCTTTCAAAAAAAAAAAAAAAAAAAAAAAGTTTTTCTTTCTCTTGATTTAATACATGTCTTTGGTTTCATTGCAGGCTCTAGCTTGTGGTCCCTATTCTGTATTTATGAGGCTGCCCTGGCTCTGAATATTTCCATTGTGGCGGGGCGGTATTTGCAACGCAAAGATTTTTGGATTCTGTGGAGGGATTAAAATTCAATTAGATTGTATGGAGCTGTCTTTCTTTACAACCATTTTGGTTAAAAACTGGATCTCATGATTTCTGTAATAGCAGCTAGTCAACAGTTTTCATTTATAAGCAAAGTCAGTTTCCTTCTTGCTCTTTTTGGGCAGACATTATTGAATAGTCATCAAAATTAGAACTGGGTCTTTTGGGGCCCCTTCTCCAGCATTTTTTTTTTGGGCTCATCCAAGTAGGATAAACTCAATCCAACACTGATTTCTCAGAAATTTTCTTCATTCACCGAACAGCTCTGGATAAAATCTCTGAAATCTTGCATACGAAGCTTGAGAAGTTCGATACTATCTAGCAAGAAGGGGAGGCTGCAGAAGCCCAGCTGGAAACGGCATCAGTTAAAAGAAAGGGCGTACCTAAGCGGTGGTTGCAGGGGTTACGAACCGTCACGCCTTATTGGCATTAGAAGATGGCAGAGTAAGCACCAATTACTGGGAAAACAAAAGAACCAGCATCTAAACTTCCCTCCCACCCAGGTACGGTAAACCAAACTGGTACAAACACAGAGACTCCACACAGTCATTTCTCAGAAGTTTCCTGTAACACGTCCAAGTTCTGAATCACAAATGGAGAAACCCAGAGGACGGCCTGTTGTGGCTCTCCGGGAGCCTCTGAAACCCGGCAGCACGCGCCGGCTCCAGCCCGGGCACAGAGCTCCCAGCTGGTGTCGCAGTCCAAAGCGGTCTGTACCGCACCAGTTTTACACCGGCAGTTTCGTGAATGCTGTGATCAGACACGTAACCAGCCACGTCCTCCTCCTCCAGCTGTGCTGCTGAAGCCACGGCAGTGTGGGTTTGCTAGAAGGGCAATCCGAGCCTTCTGAGGACTGTAATACAGGGTTAAAAACGTGTCATCGATCCCCTCCATGACTGCAAGGTAGAGCAGAGCGAGTGGCTTCTCTTTAAAGTCTCCCGAAGGACCGGAGCCCAGGATTTCCCAGGAGATTACTCCAAAGATTGGTAACTACCATAGGAATACTTTCCTGCTACAGAGTTTAGGTAAATTTTGTGCATATTTTTTTCTTGAAAGTCTACAAAGGGCTGGACAAAGACACTACACAGAAATCTAAATATTTCTTTCAAATTTCTTTCTAATCCTCCTGTGTTATAAATCCTTTTAGAATGACGCAGCATCCACTAACATAATGGTCAATAAACAATTATGACTAATACCTAAATCTTTACCAAGTTATATTGTTACGTGTTAATATTTACCTAAATCCATCCCTTGATCAGTTTAGTTCCATTTTCCTTTCTCCCCCTCCGCTTTGCTGTAATATTTGCTGTTCATGTTCCTACCCACGCGTCCTGGTTTGAGGTAACAGAGAACCAATTTTCTTTTCAGTTAAGTCTCTTCTGTCAGTAACATTTGTTACTGGCCTGAGATCTCTCGTGGTTACGATTGCTTCAAGATCCCTTCCCTTCCAGTGAGGATTTTCCTTTCCATTTGTGTTCCTGCATTGTGACAATTTTCATTGCCCTACAAAGTAAACCTCTTATTTTCCCAGCCCTGTCTCCACTGCTTTTCTAAGCTGTGGTCAGTGACACATCTCCATGTCTTCCCATAGTTGCTGACAAACTGAAGGCCCAAGAGCACATGACAGTAAGAGAAATACCATTAGCCAACCCTCTCCTTTGCGCTGCCAGAGTAAGGGTAACAGCCTTCTAGTAAAATTTTGTCTTTAATTCACATTTTACCCTTTGAACATTCTACTGTCTTGCTCAACACTCACTACAGGAGGGTGTTTTAGAAGTGTTTTCTGTGATCTTTCAAAAAGCGAAAATAGTGACTCAGGTGTCCAAGCATCCTTTACAGCACTAAACAATTCATGCCGTGACAGACCCTACAGCTATGATGCATCAGTTGTAATTTTTCTTAATCCAATCTTTTGTTGCAATCATGCATTAAGCTAAGATTGGAAGCCCTTTAAAAAAAAGCGAAATTTCCATTCCTGGTATTTTCCATCACCACTTCTGAAGTATATATTCAAATGTTCTGAAAGTTGAAGAGGAAAAAGAGGCACAAGGTTACGGATCTCAAGAAACAGATGCAAGCCCATGGTCTCTACATATTTTTAATAAAATCGAAGCCTTTCCATATCCTTTCCTTCAAACCTTTTAGGCCGTACCTTTAAAAAACAGGAAACTAATATTTGTGCAATTAAATATTTAATTTTCCTCTGAACAGTAATAACTTAGGAAGTCATCTCTGACAGCCTGCCAGGAGAATGATTATTCGGTATTTTGGGGAGTGCCCCGTCATCCCAGCTCTTCATTACATTTTCCTTTTCAGTTGCTAACAAACATGTGTCAGTCTAGCCGAGCTGTCTCTTTCCTCACACAGCTTTTCACTAAAAAGCCTACAACCAAGGTAAATGACCCCCCCCCCAAGTTTTCATTTTAACCCAATGGCACACCACAGAAACACAACTTGTGGCCTACACAGCGATTCTGTAACGCGTTCCAAGGCAGAAGCTGTGAACTGCTACCCTGCAGCTGCGGGGCAGTAAACAAGGTGGCCAGTCACCACCTGGGTCTTCTGCACGTAAGCTCTGATCGAGAACATTTCAGAGCCCCCAAACTTTTATTCCTAAAAAGAAACTCTGCTGGTGATGTTAAGCTGGGAGAAGTCCACATAAGAGCACCTATTTCCAGCCCCTAGATTCTTCGAAGTGCAGATCAAGTTTCCCATAACCACGGTTTCTCCACAACCCTGGATGGAGCCCATCATCCTTTCTCCTGCCAAGCCAAAAGCCAGGCATGAACCCAAGGACACAGCGTCCTAGGATAAAACCTGCCATAGCTTCTAGCCAGGTCTAACCATCCCCGTGACTCCCAAACAACTGCTCTCTACTCGCCGTCACTCAAAGAAGAGTTACTCTACCAAGACACAGAACAGGTCTTGTGAATCTCAAAACCCCACAGTGCTCCTGAGAGCAGAACAACTCCAACACAGATGTTTAACACCAGCAGCTCTTCAAAAATACTACAGAATCTACCCATTAGTGATAAGCTACTAATGTTTGTTTTGATGATCTTACAGTCAGAGAAAAATAAATACAATAACATGTAAAATTATACTAACTTCTCAGTGATTACTTTCTCCTTGGAATTGACCAAGTTTTTTCTTTAATTCATTTTGAAAGAAAGCAAAAGCTGTGGCGATATCTAGGGAAAAGCAGAGGGGCGAGAAATATCACATCTACAACAGTTTTCTTCCCGCTCATCTTTAGTCACACAAAGTAAGACTACTGAAGTCCAACACGACCACTTTTGAGCATTTCTAGTGTATGACAGAGCTCTGGTCCCTGTTATATAAAAAGCGTGTCCAGGCTTTCCAATACTCGCTAGCTGTCCTCCGCTGAAGAGGTATAAGCCTGCTAAGACCCATACAATTAGAGCTACTAAAGTGGATTATATTCACGTGAATGTTTTTTGTTGGTGGTGGTGTAAGGAGGAAACAAAACTGATTAGAAAACAAAATATTTTCTCAGAGTTAGGTAACTACCACAGACTACTGATAACCTGGATGGTAGGAGCTGGAAATCTGGAATGTCTGGATGTCTGAAGCAGAAAATGTTTTCCTTTCACAGAGAGATTTTTTTCAGAGTGGATAGGGACTACCCTGCTACGGGAAGCATCTATTCCTAGGGATAGCAGATCACGAAATACCGCTGGAAAAACGGGCTCTTTTTTTCCGTTCTGATTGTTTAAGCTAAGCTTTGGCAATCCTGTGAGAGTGAGACCAGTGCTGACGATCTGCTCTTGGGACTGCACCAGAAGCACACTAGTTTGCCAACAAATCACTGGTTAGTCCATTACTATACTGCTCTGTCTACAGAGATTCACAGAGCTGCACCTAAATATCATCTGGTTTCATGTTATATATGTGCTTTTCACAGTTGGCTTGCAGCAGATGAAGTGTGTGCCCTCTTGCTACAGGAATTTGAGCTTGATCAGCTGAGCCAAAATGTTCCTTTGCCTTCAAGGAACCGCAGCATAAACCCCGTCAGGTCTTATTTGCAGTGCCTGTGTGCAACCAGCACCACTGTGCCAGGAGAGGGGCTACAAACCAGCCACTTCACCAGCAATATTTTTCCTTATTAGAAAACGCGTGTCACTTCTGGAAAGTTGCTCTGCTTCTACTTTACCAATATCTGAAAATCCCCTTTTCACCTGGTCTGTACTCCGTGCTAGGGCAAACCTCGATACAAGGTTATGCAATCTGATACCAGTGATTGAGGCGTGCAGAGGGCAGCAGCTGATGATAGCAATATGGCTAAAATGGATATAAGAACAGATACGACAATATCTACTGAAATCGGCTTTATCCATCGACCTTCTTCTTATTAATAATAAAGCAAAGAGACCAAGCGGCAAGAAAGCTGTGGGTCCTAGTAGGCCAGTACAGCAAGAACACACAAGGATCCAGATTTCAGAGCCTTAGTTGGCCTCAAAAC